ACTTCATTCCTTTTTAGGGTGGAACAGAGGTTCTGCTGCAAAGACATAGTACAACTTGTTTATCTACTCGCCCACCTGAAGGCAGGGAGACACTGGGCTGTTGGATCATGCAAGCATTTTATGCCAAGGGAATGGCCACGTGACTTCCCATCCATGGCTACTGAACTGATTTTGTTGCCACCAGCAATGTCCAAGAGGCTCATCTACCTTCATTGTCAAGCAAGGGATGGCCAGGACCTCAGAGATGAAGGAGAGATCCCCAGGGGCTAGTGTGCTTGAACTAGGTCAGTAGCTCCGCCCCATTCCCTCAGCAGGCCACAGGCTTATCAGGTTGGTCCTGAGGCTCCAGAAGATGCTGACTAGACTGGTGAAGAGTTTATTTCATTCACTCATCAAGACATAAGGACCAGATGGTCAACTCTAGAACCCAAAGCTGGGCTAGGTATGATCCTCCAGGAGCTAAGTCAGTGGCCCACCTGGCCCCCATTGGCTCACAATATATGTTTTCTTAAGGTCAGAAACAGGCTGCCTTCCTGTTCTTCCTTTCCTGGACCCCTCTTCTCTTACCACATCCTTTCTCTCCTCCCCTCCTCCCCCTGCCGCCTCACTCCTCACTTCTGTGCACCCTCCTCTAGTCCCCTTTCTCCTCCCCCCATTAAAGTTAATTCACCCCCTTCCCCATGGTAATTCAATTCTCTCTCTCTCTCTCTCTCTCTCTCTCTCTCTCTCTCTCTCTCTCTGTGTGTGTGTGTGTGTCTTCCTTTCTTTCTTTTTATTGGCAAGGTCTTACTGTGTATTCCAGGCTGCCCTCAAACTAATTGCTTAGCTCAGTTTGGAGTTTGGCCTTAAACCCTTGATACATCTTCCTCAGCCTCCTGAGTAGCTGAGATTCCAAACTTTAGGCAACCGAGGAACAGAGTGAGGGTAGAAAGTTTGTGACTGTAGCCAGGACACACACATACATGCACACGCACACGCGCACGCGCACACATGCACACATGCACTCGTGCACACACACAGGAACATGTGCACACACACACACACACGCACATGCACACACATGCACACACACACCATCTAGACCCCAGGAGGTGCCCACTGAGAGAAGGGAGGTCTTGGGAAGTCTCTGTCCTTGTTGCTTGTAGGACAGAACGCCAGCATCCGGAAGCATGGACCTGACACACAGCAGGGTCTCAGGAGAGCCACCCTTGTCTCTCAGTATGGAGGGTTAAATGTTAGGAAGGCAGGAATGACCAAGGATGCTCAGGACAGCAGGAAATTGCTGCTGGTGGTGTTAGGAACATTCAATTCCACAGAGCTAGGAAGGCCTCTTAGACACTCCCCATGTGGGCCAGGCCCTGCCAGGACTTGCCTCTGTGGGCAAAGCCCTAAATTGGGAGAGCCAGGAGGCAATCACCATCCACTAGCTCTGCAAGTGTGTTCCTGGGACCTGAGGCAGACACACTTCTTGGGAGCTTGCTGGAAATGCACATCCCCTCTAACTTGTTGACTCTGAAACTTGGGGGACAATGTCTTCCTACAAGCCCCTCCGAGGGCTCTGCTTTTTTTTTTTTTTTATTTAAGTTCTCAGGGACCTCCTTTAATGAGGGAGATGCAGCATCGGCCACAAGCAGTTCCCAGTCTGAAGGGAGAGCTTCAGTTCCTTGCTAAGGAACAGGGAAGCCAGAGCCTGGGGCTCTGAGAATGTTGCCCACTCGGCTGTGGGGGCTGGGAGGGTGGGTGGTGGCTGAGGGTCTGTGAAGGGGGCGCCTCAGAGAACCCCTTCCATTTTTCCCCTCCATTCTTCCGAAAGCAGTTTGATGTGCTAATGAAGGCATGAATTATTGAGCACCATTTGCATTCGTTACAATAACAGGCAGGGGAGGGGGGCCTGAGGGAATTGGGAGAGTCTTTTGAAATTTACTGCCACTTACTGCTCTCCTGTGGAGCTGGGGTGAGGATGAAGATGGAGCGGTGTGAGAGGAGAAACCTCCTGGGCTTAGGGTCCCTAGATGCAAGCCTGGCTGGGGGACAGCGCCTTCCTCCTCAGCTGCCTTGCTGCCTTTCACCTCCAATGCATGGCCACCACTTTTTGGTTTTGGCTATGTGGGTGGCTCTATGGGACTCAAGAAAAGCCCTGGCCAGGCAAATGAATAGGGGACAGTCTTAGGGAACTTCAAGCAGATGCTTCAAAGTGCAGAATGAGTAGTTTGGGGGTTAGCCTTGATTTCTGCCTAACCCCCTTTCCTCTGCTGGTCCTTGGAGCTCTTTTGCTTCTTGTTGCCCAGATGTTTGCCCAGATGTCAAGCCCACTGCTACGATCGATGTCTTGGAGAAGAGGAAGGAGGGATGAGAACTATCCACTTGCGGGTGCTCCCTGGCTCCTTTTGGGGCCTTTGGAGTGGGCGAGGGGCTGTAGTCTTTGGGAAGGACAGGATAAACATTAGTTATGACCTGTTTTTCCCAAACCTCAAACATGGTGGCTGCTAGCTAAGAAGGAGAACCTCCAGAGGCACAGGGGAGGAGGACCAGAGGGAAGTATGTTGAGGAATGAGAAAAGGCGGGGCAGCACCTGAGGCATCTCAGGGGGAGGCAGCTGGCACCAGGGTTGTGCTGGGCACTATGCCAGCATTTAGAAGCCATCCTGCTTGGCTCTGCTGGATAAGGAACACCCAGGCTGTTCAGGCCCTGACCAGTCTCCTCCAAGCAGCAGAGTTCTTCAGAGGCCTGGGGAGGGGATGTCCCTGAAGGGTGGTGGTCTGTGTTATTCTTTGAGATTGTGGGACATTTGTTTCTCTTTAAAGTCCCTGTTTATTCTCACACTTCCATGGGACCCCCGGGGCTAGCTGTCCTGATGTAGTGTATGTATAGGGTCTTTAGAGAGGAGAGAGAGAGAGAGAGGGAAAGAGAGAGAGAGAGAGAAAGAGAGAGAGAGAGAGAGAGAGAGAGAGAGAGAGAGAGAGAGAGAGGGAGATGAAGGATTGATTGATCATTATAACCTGACCCTAGTGACAGACCAGGTGCTCAGCATGTGTGATCCCAGCACTAGGGAAACTGAGGCAGGGGGTTTGTGTGTTGAAGGACAGAAGGACAGCCTAGACTATATAGCAAGGTTGCGTTTCAAAAATAAAAAAAAATCAACACAGCAAAAACAAAATGGAGCTATGCAAATGAGAAATTACTTGAGCCTGATGATTTTGTCTTACCATGGGCAGGCTTTCTCATGAAGAAGCTTCCTGAAGAGAAGAGTGCTTCACCCTGGAGACATCTTTGGAGTTGTAAGATTCCTATGAGCAGATTCAACCACCTTTCCCTGCAGTCTTTTTTTTTTTCCCCAAACAGGGTTTTTCTGTGTAGCCCTGGCTGATCAGGCTGGCCTCGAACTCAAAGATCTTTGTGCCTCTGCCTCCCGAGTACTGGGATCAAAGACTTATGCCACCACTGCCTGGCTTTCCTACTCAGTCTTGGCAAGTGGCTTGTTGGCAACTCTAGGAGTCAAGTGTTTTCCACAGGAAAGTGGGGCTAGAAAGATGGCTCAGTGGTTAAGACTGTTCTTCCAGAGGTCCTGAGTTCAATTCCCAGCAACCACATGGTGGCTCACAACCATATCTGTAAAAGGATACAATGTCCTCTTCTGCTATGTCTGAAGACAGTGACAGTGTACTCATATACATAAAATAAATAAATATTTTTTAAAAACTGCAAGAAAGTGTCTGAGTAATAGGACAAGCATCTTTACAATTGTCACCTCGCAGAGAATGTCCAGGTCCTTGAGACTGAGAGAAACCCCTATCCTGACTCCCTGCTTCCTTCTGGCCCCTGCTGTCTGCTAACAGCTATGTGGGGAAGAGATTTGGAGTGGCGGGTGTGGCCTCTGCTTCCACAGGTAAGAAAAGAGTAGAAACAGAAAAGAGGCCAGGCGTCCCGAAGTCAGGCCAGCCCAGTCTCAGCTTTAGCCGGGAGGCTCTTGCATTGGGCAATTGTCTACACTTCTTGAAGCCTTACTTCATTTCCATTTTGTTTTGTTCCTTGGGTAAGGTCTCACCGTGTATTCCTGGCTAGCCTAGAACTCACTTATGAAGATTGGACTGGCCTAAAGTTTGTGTTGATCCTCCTGCCTCTGCCTCCCAAATCTAGGATAACAGATGTGCACCTTTATTTCTGATATGTGACGAGTATGGCGAGATTAAACTAGAGACCATGGCTAAGGTCTGATGATGGTCTTCCTCTTGGATGGGCACAAAATATGGACGGGAAGACATTTTGTCCCTTGGGTGGGGGTGATTCTGGGTTGGGAAGACCCCAACGACAGAGGGGTCTTACAGAGCAGTGTGAAGGTCTGAAGGGAGGAGAGGTGTGTCAGACTCAAGGCTTAATAGCTGTGACCCCTCCTGTGCACAAGGTCCGCTGGGTACTGGTGCCTGTCTTGGGCAGGCAGCCAGGCAGGGAGCTGGAAGGGTGCCCAGTGAGTGCCCAGAGGCCAAAAGATGGGCACCATCCAGTTGGCAGAGAGAGACGCAGCTGGCCTAAAAGAGAAGTCAGGATCTTAACTGCCAGGGTTGTGTGTCCAGGACACAGCTCTTGGCTGCCCTCCTGACATGACCAGCCCCCTCCCACTGCCTTGCCCAGCCACCTGGGTTAGTGGAACTGGACATTGATCTGTAAGGGGCATTTGGGACCTTGCCCCTAGCTGGGCACTCGACTGGCTCAGAGGCAGGCCTAGGGGCGGGCAGAAGAGCAGGAGGGCCCAGATGGAGACTGAGACTGAGTAGATCAAGAAGTGGGGAAACCGGTTTGTCATCTGGGCCACTTGGGGTGGGGTCTTCTCTCCTGGGCTCGGTCTGCCAGTCATTCTGCCAGGTGGCCTGCAGGGAAGAGATGCAGGCACTGGGTGGCATTTTCTTGGCCATCTGAACTGCCAAGAGTAAATAAAACAGGCAGAAAACTCAGCCCACCTGCCCCTCTTGAAAGGAAGCTTCCGAGAGAAGGAACTGATCACAGAACCCGAGGGAAAAAAGCAGGGAGAAGCCTGAGTACCAAAGGTCGTCGTGTGTCTGGGTCCGAGCTGGAGATGGACAGATCTGCATCATCACCAGGTAGGCCCAGTAAGGTGAGCCGGGGGCAGGGGGCGCTCCAGCTGGCGCTCTACACTGCCTTGGAGGTGGCAAAGGTGTCGCCAGAAGAGGCTTGAGAAGACAGAGTCTGTGGCAGCCTACTTTGGGGTCCACTTCAGAAGGGATCAGTGTCTCCTCAATCTCATGCAGTAACTGCTCACGCCTGCGGTAGGGGCTGGAAACCGAAGTAGGGGCTAGGAGGACGTACAGCAGGGGGCGCCTGGGAGCCGGGTCCCTGGTCCAGAGGTAGCTGAGGAAGGGGGAGGGGCAGAGGTGAGGGGGCGCGACCACAGAAGGGTACATGGGGTCTCGACTCTCAGGGCATAGAACGACTGTGTCGCTCTGAGGTCACCTTGGCTGGAGTGATCCCCAATTCTCTCGTCCCCTCCCCAGACTCAAGCCCTGCTTCAACGCACCCGGAGTGCTTTTTTGTCCCAAAGCGTTGAGGGTGCTTGGAGACGCAAAGAGTCACCTCCCCAGGTGCCTCTTTCGAGGCCACCCAGGGGTCAACGCATTTGTCTCTACCGCAGAAGGAGGACCGCTTAGGGTGGGGGAAGCAGGTGAAATAGGGGGGGAGCGTGAGCGCGCCCCGCACCCTAGTCCGGGCCGCGCGCTGCGGGATCCGGGTGTGCTGCGGGAGGGCGCGAGGAGGCGCAGTGCCCCTTCCCTTCCCCCCGCTCCCCGCCACCCCCGGCGGCCCTTTGTACCATCCGGCCACACGCGCGTGCCCGCGTCGCGCGCGCTCCCGCCCGCAGTGACACACCCGCGCCGGCCGCACGGGCGCACTCGCGCGCACACACACAGAGACACACACACTCGCTCTCGCACACTCGGTGACACGCCCGCGCGCGCGCGCACCCACACGCCCGGCCGCCGGCGCCCTCCCAAGCTGGTCCACCCCGGCGGGGCCCGCGCCCCCGGCCCGCCCGCCTGGCACCGCGCCCCGGGGCTGGGGCCGAGCGAGGAGCCCGCGAGGCGGCGAGAGGGCGAGCGCCAGGCAGGCCGGCCCGGGGCCCCCGCCCCCCGCGCCCCCGCCCGATGGGGAACGCTCCGTCCCAAGGCATGTCCCTGTCTCTCTCCTCCCTAATGTGCCTCCATGCTTAAGTGGAAGGTATTTCTGTTTTCTTTGTGTGTTTTCCCCTCGGCCGGGGGCGGGGGCGGCGGCCGGGCCCGGGAGGCGGCGGCCGGCCGGGCGAGGGATGCTCCGGGCGCAGGTGTTGCGGGGGGAAGGGGACCGCTGCGCGCCAGGCTGGGGAGGACCAGGGAGAGAGAGCGCAGGGAGCCGAGAGGGTCTGGAGCCGGCGAAGCTGGGGACCCGGCGGGAAGGGCCTCGCGGTGCCCGGGGGGAGGGGACCTGGGGTTACAATGTAAGGGGGAGGGGAGGGTGAAGGGGGCTGGCGAAGAGAGTCGGGGGGAGGGGAGGGGTCCATGCGAGGTGAAGCCAGGGATGTCGAAGGAGGAAGGGACAAGGGATAAAGGCAAGAGAATCACATCCCCGCCTCAGCTCTCAGAATGGGGTGCAGGCACTGGGCTGGTAGTGCTGGACCCTTCGCGCCAGTCCCTCAGGGAAGCAGGGGACAGAGAGCGCTCTGGGTTTGGCTGTGTTGCCAGGATACAAAGCTGCATTCTACACCCCACCCCCTGCACCTCGAGGCCCTAGCCCTGGAGACCTCCTAGCCTCCACAGGACTTGCAGAAACTGGGGACCTACTCCCCGCTCGCCGGGCGGGTAGGGAGGGCCCTGGAGAGGGAGGGACCGAGGGAGGGGCTTCTGGATCTTAAACCCTCCCCTTGCAGAGGCAAGGGGTAAAGGAGGGCGCCCCCAGCTGGGTAGGGCGTCTGGGGTGATGTGGAGGTGGGGACTGCAGGGGGCTGGGAAAGTAGAGAGGCGGGGCTGGGGAGGGGACTCGTCGTGGCTCCCCCTCCCCTCCCACGCACCCCCCTGCTACGTCAGAAGCTCCCGGGCCAGCTCCGAGTCCTGTCGGTGGGGGCAGCAGGATGCTGGTGGCAGTAGAGGGGGCCGGCCGGGTGCCTCCGCAGCTCAGCTGGCAGGGCCCTGTGGGGCGTGTGTGGCTGCTGGTGTGCGCCCCCAGCCCCACGCCTCCCCATGCAGCCCTGGCAGTGCCTCCGGCGCTTTGCCCTGGCCTGGTGGGAGAGGACCGCCGAGGGTCGCGCCCGTTCTCCCAGGGAGGAGGTTGGACCGAGGGACCCTGGGGGCCGAGGGGAGCCAGGTGAGCTGGATCAGCTGTGATCAAGGATTGCTGAACTACCTTTTCCAGCACCTCTCAAATGTTGCCAGATCTGGGGGCTCTGCAGACCCCAGCTTTGGGAGAAGTGGGGTCCCCAGTTGGGGCTTTCCCGTTGCAGCCTCTCAGAAGGTGTTTGGGATAAAGGTGGGAAGTGGAGAAACTGTGCAGACATCAGTAGTAGGGAGGAATCCGGCTGTTCCTTTGGGTGGGGTTCGTGCCCTTTGGGTTGGGGTGATAAGATACCTTCCTCTACTCTGGTCATCTTTGCTCTGAGTGACCTTGAGCCAGTTGCTTGGCTAACTCTGTGCCTCAGTTTCTCATTCCCTTCCCTGTCTCTGTGGCTGGACTTAAAAATGATGATGTCTCTGATGGAGCTAGTCACTGTGGAGACGAGAGACTGTCATCTCTGGTGGCAGCTGGGATGGATGGTGGTTTCTAGCATGGCTGGTGTGTGTTTGTAACTGGGGGCCACTATGGCATATGGGTTTGGGGTTCGGTTGATGGTGGCCGGTGTGGCGTCACTCTGGATAAACAATCAGGGTGGGATGTGTCCAGGAGGGCTCTTGGTAGACAGAGAGTTGGAATAGTGATTTAGCTTGATACAGAATCCAGGGTGAGTGAGGGCTCTGGACGTAAGGGGAGGGGGCTCCCCCACCCACCCCAAGGCTGCCTGGTACCCAGGCACCATTGACTGCAAGTGCAAAAGCTTTGCCCTGGCTTCCTGCCACTCTGCCTTGGGGACAAGAGGGTCTTTGTTCAACGCTGCCCCCAAGTCCTGCGTTTTTTCCTTTCCTGGGACGTTACTTCTCAGCAACCTATGACCCTTGGACAGAGGTTCAGGTGGGTCTAGAAGAAACAAATGTAGCCTCATACTGGGGACAGGGAGAGCTGCCTCACTAGGTGAAGGGTTCCTGGACCAAGCCCTCAGCGACATGCCCCCATTTCAGCCTCTCACTTGCCCCCTTGCTTATCTTCCCACCTAGCAGAGGAGGTGGGGGGCTCCCTGGCCTTACTTATACAGCCTCTAAGGATGAACGGTGATTTACCAGGATGCACGGCCCCTCTGAGAGTCCTCCCCCCCCCCCCCCTGTCCAGGGACCCACCCAAGAAAAGGGTTTAATTAGAACCATTGATTCCTTTTTGGCTGCGGGCATCGATCTCGATGGTGTGGTCAGGGCAGTGGCTGGGGGCAGGGATGGCACAGCTGCTGTCTGCCGAGTGCTAACCTTGGCATTCTCTGCCAAAACCCCAGCCCTGGAACTGCTGAGCAGGGGTAGGGCTGGGCTCTCTGGAGCTCCCCACCTCCACTCCAGATCAACTCAGCTGAGGGCTGAAACAGTTAGGAACCGTGTTCAGGTTAAAGGAAGGGTGGTCACATAAAATGACCTCTTTTGGTGAGCTGGGGGCACAGCAAGAAGCGGTGGTGGTTGAGAGTGTCCATCCTATTTACAGGAAGTCTGGAGGAATGGAGTGGCCTGTGAGTGTCCAGGCAGGTCAGGGACCAGGGGAAAATCGAGGACTGGCTATAAAAGTATCTCTTTCGAGGAATTCTGAACACTTATCTCTAAGCCCTGGCAAGGAGATTGTTTTCTTCCTTCATTTATGTCTGTCCAGGCCTAGATAGGGACAGGGCCTGCCTAGACGCCCGGCTGGCCCAGGTCTGGCCTGGCTCTCTGACCCCGTGGCCCCTGCCTAGACGGAAGGTACTGAGTGCTAGTCTTCTGGCATCTGTGGCTCAGGTCCCTGGAGTTGGGGGCCCTAGCTTGCGCCTGTGGTGGGTGGGCCTGAGCAGGTGCAGTTTCAATGAGGCACTCAGGGGCTCTTTGAAGACTCCTTCCCTGGCTTCCCAGGGCCCGTTTGAGCAAAGATAATAAAAATCTGGCCGTCAGCGGTTTGAGGGCTGCGCTCGCTTCCCCTTCTTTCATTCCCAGCTCTGAAAAGATGAGATGAAGGCTTTGGATTTGGCTGGAAAGCAGCTCCTGCCCCAAGGGAGAGAGGCGGGCGGGAGGGAGGGCCAGCTTCTTGGCAGCCAGGGATGGGCAGAGGGGTAGAGGCATGGTCCCCAACCCCTGCTAACAACACAGCACCCTCAGTGTTAGGACTCCATACCCAATACCCAGGTGATAGAGTGGTCCTTCAGGCCCCTGGGACCCCAGAGCATCCTTCTCTGCCCTGCTGTTCCACAAAGTTCCTTCTAGTCACCTCAGGCTCTCTGTCTGTCCTCTCCGCCAGTCTTCCACTTTACTCTCCCCCCCCCTCCCTCCACTGCCAGTGTCCCCCACTCCTCTTGCTCTTTCTGGCCGGCCCCTCCCCTCTGTCTGTCTTCTCTGCCCTAGCAGCAATCCTGCTTTCTAGGGCTGAGTGGAAGGTTGCTGCTGAGGGGAGCAGCCACTGAACAGCCTTAGCCGCAGCCGCAGCAGGGATGGGCCAGCTGACTATTATGGGCTGTCAGGTGCCATCACTGTCAGAGTGCAGGCTGAAGGGGCTGCTGTGCATTTAAGAGCACACTCAAGGATGCATGGTGTGTGTGTGTGTGTGTGTGTGTGTATGTTGTCAAGCTCCTCCCATGCCACCTCAGACACCTCACCTTGACTTTGGGCTCTCCAGACCCCTGTCACACACACACTTCAGTTACCTTCTGGCTTTCGCCTTCCCAACAGATTTTTTTTTTCTTTCTCTTTCCTTTCTCTTTCTTTCCCCAGCCCTTCTGGTCCTTGATCCCTAACGGTAGTCT